TTACATCACGAGCTGGCATTCACATATCACGTGAACGGCGTTAGATGGAAAATTGGGGCATCAAATCTTAAACTAACAGCCTCTCTGATCATGCGCGTTCTGTTAAACTTTTGTTTCTTTAGAATGGACTCGGTGGCTACAGCGTTAGAGGAGGTCTTGAGCTCTGCATTGCCTCAGGGTTGCATCACTGTCGGAGTTTATGAAGCAGCAAAGTCACTCAATGTGTAAGTTGATAGTAAGCTCGCTACTGCCGCACTATGAAAAACTAGCTGGGATGAGCATGAAGTAGTAATGTTTGCTTTATCTTTTTCCTCATTGCTTTTAGGGATCCAGACAATGTGGTGTTGTGTCTACTGGCCACAGATGATGAGGAGGATGTGGCTCTGCAGATTCACTTTACCTTGATACAGGCATTCTGCTGCGAGAATGACATCAACATCCTGCGTGTGAGCAACATGAGGCGTCTGGCAGAGATACTCGGCGGAGTGAAGCCTGGAGGAGAGCCAATGGACTTACACTGTGTTCTAGTTACTGTAAGTACTGTTACTCACGTCCGTGTAGTTTAAACCTTGGGAATATTGCTCATTTCCTTTTGAGCAATCAAATGTACCTGGGGTTTATTGCTTCTCGTTTCTGCTGTCAGCACTTGGGAGTTGGCATCAGTTATGCAATCTGAATTATTATTTGCACATTTCATAAAAGAACAGATGGTAACCGCTTTGCTCTTTCCTGTGCAGAATCCGCAGTCATCCCCGTGGAAGGACCCTGCACTGAGCAAGTTGAACAGATTCTGCAGAGACTGCCGGTGTTTGGATCAGTGGGTGCCTGTTATCAACCTTCCTGACCGATGAAGCTGCTTGGAATATAAATGTATTGTGTGCAATGGGGAAAAAGTAACTGCCTAAGGCCTGTGTTAATGTCTGTGTTGGGCTTGATTGGAAAGCGCCCCAGAGAGAGAGAAGTGGAGAGGGAGCGACGGGAGAGTTAGGAGAAGGAAGGGGGGAAAAAAAGAGCACAAGTGTTCCAACAAATTTACCAGGTCAGGGTGAACTTGTGGGCCAAGGAAGAGTGACTCAGCTGTCTGGGTTCCCGGATTTTAACGTATGACTGCGCCTTTCTCTGCCGAGAAAGAATAATTTTCGAGGAAACTGAATCATGTGAGCATGGAGCACACGTGGTGCCGAGCACAGGCGCATGGACTGGGGGAAAAGCCGACAGAGTGTCTCAGCTGACAAGACTCCAGGAACTGGACCACAAGAGAGTGGATCAGTCAGCTGTCAGCTTGAAAAACTCCTCATGAAAATTTGACCAAATTGACTCAGCATTTCTTCAAGAGAACATTTACTTAATCTTATTTAAAAACTTGTCACTTTGATAACTCTGATAACTCAAAAGGGAAAGTTTTCACAGTTTATTATTATTATTATTATTATTATTATTATGGACAATACAATGTTTGTCCGGTAACTTGTTGTTATGTTATTAATTTAATAAGTTATATTTATTGTGCATAGTTGAAAAGATTGTGCCTTGAAAATTTGAATAAAATTTAAAAACAGTTCTCAGATGGGTTTTGCTTTACCTTTTCAGCAACTACTCCATCCGTGCACTTTTAGAAAATCATGCATGAATTTCCTGACATTTGGAGTTTGTTGTTACATGTCACAAGGGAAGTGACTCGTTTATTTATTTACTTGACATATGCTTTCGCTTTTCTTTTCTTTTGCATTTCAGCATAAAGCCAACCTGTTTAGGAGGGTGTACAACAAAGACAGAAGTGGAGTAGCTAATGTGTTTTCGGTAATCCACATGGTCTGAGAAGGAACTAGAGTTGTGCACCTCATCTGGGCTTTGTTTCCCAGCTTGAGGGGGGGAAAAAAATCTAGCCTGTGGCAGAAAAATGGACAACTACAAGTCTTTTCAGACCAGATTAGCTGGCTTTGAAATGTGCTGCAGGCATTAGGTTTCTTGAAATAAAGTTTACTCCTGCATGGGAACCCTAGTAAACGTTGACCTTTTGCACATCTTGGAGATCTGATTACACAGAGGGGTGGAGAATTCCCATTGTAGTCAAATCTAAGTGGGATGGGGCTCATTGTGACAGCTCCTTCTTCACACCCCTCTGCATTCACGCAATCAGTGCTAAATTTACTGCTGAGAGAATTAAAAATAGCAGTGAGGCATGAAAAAAAATATGTTGAAGACCCCTTTCAGGCTGTAAAAAGAGAAAACCAGAACTTATGGTGCTTGCACAGAGTTAGAAAGGACAAAGGTTTCCACACAGAGCGTCACGAGACAAAGGATGCATGAGTCAGGGCTATTCAGCTCTATTGCTAGAGCTGTACAGTACTTTAGCTTTATGCCTAAAAATAGCCACATGAATAGAGGCATACCCTCTGACCACTGACAATAATAGTTCTTGTAATTAACATGCAGTGTACGCACAGAGACTGACCCACTGAAGAGATGTCAGTTTGCAGGCAGGGATATCACAAAGACAACATTCCTGTCAAGCGGAGGGCTAACAGATGGGGAGGGAAAACTGGGTCAAAAAGGGACTGGAAGACTGAGGAGGATTGTGGGGTATGACAGAAGCTACACGGTCTGTGGTTGTCTTAAACTGACCGCAATAAACAAGAAAATTTTGCAAATCTGATAAACTGTATAGAAGTCTGTACATGTAAATAACGTTAACCTTGATAGAATTTTTAGATTTGAAGGGTTTTTTTAGGTTGTTAAACAATATCAGAAATAGTAGAGTCTGATCTGTATGACATGACACCTCCTGAAAATCAGTTTGATCACTGAAAGGCCTTCCTGACACTGAGGGAGGAGCTTCTAAAAGTAGGTGAGATACTGGAGATAGTGGATTATTGGCTTATCCCAGGGCTTCTTCATTACCAGGTAACACTATCACTGCAAATGATGCTGCTACAAAAGCCAGCCATGTAAGTCATCTGACTCGAGTGGGGATTACATGAATGTGGGCCAACAAATATGGCCTGACCTGATTGTGGATGTAACATCGCACCTGAGAAGACTGAGACAGGAGATAAAAGGGTGCTCACAGAAGTAGGGATTATTGCATAACATGGTACTCATGGCTTACGGGCATGTAAACAACTTTGCTGAGAAATTAGAACAATCAAAAATGTTTGGGTCTTTGACCTGATTCACTCATCCACTTGTCTAAACATTGTGACTTGTGATTCAGACAAAGGAGTAATATTCATGTTGTTACAATAAGACATTTTCTATATAATTACAGTGGTGGGCGTGCATATAAAACATGCTCAAACTCTCAATTAATGAGGTCAGCAACCCCTCATAGCCAAAAGCTTAAGCTCCAAATTGCTTTAGATGCTCGATATCAGGACATTTTTCTGCTCTCGGCTCTACATAATGTCAGTGAGAGTGGATATCCCTACTATGAATTTCTTAATGTCAGGAACACAGCTACAGCTACAACCACAGCTGTTCAAACCTGCTGTTTACAAGGGGCAGCCAATCAGAAGGTAGCTTGCTTAAAAGGTAGGACAGTTTGTTTTAGATGTTGGATTCACTTAAGATCTGCACCAATGCTCAGTCTAAGACAAATAAGGATCATCATGAACTTTAAATGATGAAAACCTACTATTGTAAAGTCCAATATCAAACATATGGAGCCGAAAAATGAACACAGTAGACCCTCCATTTGATTATATAAATGATGATTCATGCAATGAAAATGTCTAAAACAGGCTTATGTAAATTTAGTTGAATAATTTAACTTGTTTTCCATATTTATTTGCATTGAATATATGCAACAACAGGCAAAGGTTTGAATATGACAGTAAGCTGTTATTGACACCACGTGTGAGAAACCACAGACTTATCAATAAAAACATAAATCCATACAGACTGATCAAAATCAACCAGATGTATCGTTAACACAGCAACACGTAACACTTTTTAATCCCAAACATTGAAATCATGAAACAAAATAGAAAGTCAAATGTTAAGGTTTGACTGAAACCTGAAAAGAACATTTACAAGCAAGCACATACTCTGGTACATGGGCACAGTGTTACAAGCCTTTAGTAAGATATACCCCATATATCTCTTAATTCACCTAAAGAATCTTATAATTCACAGTTTTAGACAACAGCACTTATGTGACTTAAAGGTAGTCAAGAGGTTAAAGTAGGATTAACTTCATTATTAAGGCCCTGGCTGGTAAAATTACAAAAGTAGTTGCTCATGTTTTAGCAAGAGTATAGCTCACAAATGACATAAAGTTGCAGCTATGTCAACATGATATAATCAAAGGAAGTTTGAGCTGTAAACATGAAATGTTTCAAACTCATAACAGTCATTTGGTGTTCATCGGTTTCACAGTGCCTGAAGTGTACAAACAAGAAGCCTCAGGTCTGCAGACAGAAGCAGCGAAACTAGATCTGATGGAGTCTGATTACTGTAAATATTTTTCTTCTACAGTAACGGCTTCATGGCAAGGTTAAGGTTTACTCCATTTAAGAGTGTCATCCTCCAAGTACTTGCATCGTAAGACTTACAGATATCATGTTCGTGTTCTTTTATCGCTCTCCGCTGAATACAACCAAAGTTGCAAAAACAGCAAGCTTACAGCAAAATTAAGCATCAATTCATCCTGAAATATTGGCACTGCACTGTACAAGTGCATCACATCATTTTTTGAAATGTCTAAAAAAAATCAAAATCTGAATTATATTTGAACAAACTCTTTGCATCTCTGGAAAGGTTATACAAGGTTAGATATAAGAGACATGTATGATCGAGTAATCCCTATGATCTAAAAGCTCAGCCTTCAGACTGCTCTAAGCCCAGCTTTAGGCAGTCCCCCCCCCCCTTGGGCAATAAGGTATGGTGCAGAAGCCCCACCTACTTGTGAGAGGCAGCCAATCAGATTAAACGTGACATAAGAGGAGGGGAATAGGAAGTAAAGTAGAATGCACAAAAACTAAGGAATATTTTAAATTGTAAAATCATATAAAACTACTGTAGTAGAGTCTAAGGATAAAATGCGGAGCTGGAAATTATCATAATGGGTCTCCTTTGATGATTTTAGACCATTTCTTCTGAGTCGAAATGCGTGACAATAAAAAGTACATCAGTGGTTATGGACCTCCCTTTCTGTTTATCCCAGAAATGCAGGTCCATTAGAGTTTGGACAGTTAACTCATCTGACAGGATATCATTATCTTGTTAATAGTCTCATTCTGAACAGAATACAAACCGTTTCCTGATGAAAGCAAGAAGTGAAAACCCAAAGCCTAAATCTGATTAGACCAATGACTTGAAGGGGGCTTGTTTATACGTGCTGTCATAATTACAGTCATCAACTCTCCCAACTCTCAGCTCCTTTCAGGCTGAGGTCTGTGGCCTTCCAGATCCTGTCAGATTACAGTGCAGACAAACAAAAGCCACCACTTTTAATCATCTTTGTTAGAGCCGCAGCTTTGATCAGAGGCAACGGCTTCAGCCTTCTGCCCGTTCTTTGGTGTCACAGCTATTTGACTAAAAGGCAGAGAGGACTACATTCCTTATCAAACTCAAGCAGGCATGTGAAAAAGTTAAGGGGTATACTGGCCTTAAGGCAAGTTGTGAGCAGAGCTTTTACACATAGGATTTAGCATCAAAAGCAAGAGTTCAGGTGTTTCCCTACAAAACTGTGCAAGGCTTCTTGTCCTTGAAAGGGTTTTCTGAAGCAGGGATACCCATTAGCAGCGGGTCATTCTTGGCGTGCTCTCCACAGTAGCGCATCAGCTCCGATGAAGCCTTGGACACCTGCAAAGAAATCAGTAAATACACCAATCTCCTAAAAAATAAAAAAAAAAGTGGAACAGTCATAGTGGTGTGAATGTGACTGTAGACATACCTTTATCCTCTCGATGCTGGCTTCTATCCTCAGCTGCTGCACCGTCCGTCTGGCCTGAACTATGCTACTGGAGCTCTGCATTTTTGATGACATTGCAGTTTTTAGACAGCTGTGCTTAAACCTGTGTAAGACAAAATATGATCCTTACTGAATTCACGTTAATTAGTGTAGAGATGCATCTGGTATTTAGATAAAGGAAACCAAATAAACCGCAGTCTAATTAATTTGTTGATATGCTGACTGGCAACAAGATGTTCCTGCGGGAGATTAAAGAAGTGACACAAAGGCCAAGCTGCTGCTAAAAATACATGTGAGGCTATAACAGCAACAAAACAGAATCTAAGTTGATGAACATAGACTTGATGCTATTAGTATATAGAGACGAATGAGCTTAGCATCAAGTCAAATTGCAGTTATTTGGCTTAAAAGCGGTTTTCGATACCTCCCATATCCCAGCTGCACATTACCTTTCTGCTAAGGTTACTGCATTTAAATGCAATATTAAGTTACAAAATTAAATGTTGAAAAAAAAAATTGTTTTAAAATGATACCAATAAGAGGAAAGATGTGAAATAGAGCTATAAAAGTTGAAACGGAGCAAGAAGGAATCTGGCTCGGACTAAAACAAAAGAACACAAAAAAGTCTCTTCTGCCAAAAAATGAATGCTGATGTACTAAGTGGGAAGTGCAATTTTATTTCATGACCCAACGACAAATCATTGTGGCATGATTTGTCATACCTGACATCAATTGGCTTGATTTTCCTCCACCTGTCATAAGATTCTCCCAGGAAAGTAAAAATCCAATCAAATGACAGATCACTTATTGACACTACACGAGGTGGTTCTAGACAAAACATCAAGGACCAATGGCTTTAACCATCTTTGAGATACAGTCTATATCACTGTGTATGTCTGCATAAAAATGTTGCAACAATCTATGTAATACATGAAATATTTCAGTTATTGGCAAGTCAGGCACTCACTAACAAAAAAGGGCTATAAGAAAAAATACAAAGCTGCATGTTTACGCATTAGAGGTTTTATGCATGATGTCCTTAGATATAAGAAATCAAGTTACTAAAATGTGGAAGCTGAAACAAACTATAACTGTGCAACTTCTCAGAAGTGGCAGTTGACCTAATCCTGAATTCATTCAATATGCGTAAAAGCTGTGACCCAACCCAGTTTCACAATTCCCACTTCCAGGATACATTGGTTTGCTTTTACCGACTCATTACGTCATTGCTCGTAGGGGAGGCGACACGCTGGCCATTTTTTACATTTAACTTTAGCCAACTGTCAGGCAGAATTCAAAGGGGAAGCAGTCTTTGAACAAAACCTCGTGTTTCCTTTCTGTTTTCTCCACTAAAAGCAATTTCCTTTAAAAACCAGAAACAGTCTCTAACGCAAGAGTAACACAATGTCTTGTATTCAAAGTTAGAGTAAAACACAGTAAATGCACTGTTGAGCAATTTTATTGAGAACTTAAACTGTGCATAGCAATTGTTCAGCTGATAATTTGCAGCTTTTGTTCCTGGAACACATTAAGAAAACACAGCAGAGAGCAGCTCTGTGGGACTGACAAAAATAACCTTTGGCATGTGGTGCAGTAAATGTTAGCTCTGTGCTCTGGTGCAGGATATTACGGAGGAGGGGAACACGCTGAAACGGAAGGGAGATGAAACATGGGCAACTGCAGAACTGACTACAGAAAAAAAGACAAGACCATACATCTCTCTAACCCCCCCCTCACCCACCCACTCCTTTCCGCTTCCTCCACAGGAAGCAGTATCGCCTGTTACCCTCCAAAGTATAAATGATTAAATATGGGGTGGAGGTGCTAAAAATAGAAGCTACAGACATGGGATAATAACCTAGGATAGAGAAAGTGTAGCTGTTATTGCTGGAGTGCAAGGCTTTTGCAAGGCAGTTGTCAAGGTAGCTTTCCTGAAAACCTGCATGCTGACATTAAAACCAAAAGCACGATTGCACATATTTACTGTCAGGCTCGTGTACAACATTCTGGACCTGTGTACTCATTGTACAAAGGAAGTTACCACTTCATGTCATGCATCTCTCGTCAACACAGCTGTGCTGGCCAGGCAGGAGTGGACTCTGAAAAAGGTTAGAGCTGCGTCACAGCAGGGTTAGTAACTACCCACTAACGTCTGCACGGACACTGTGTGACGCTGGCTGTTACTATCAAGCCCCGAGACCAGAAACATAAAAGCGCTGGGTAACAGTGACTGTTTACACTGATCTAAACATTCGATTTTTGAGATGGAAGTGTAGAGACCTTTCATCTTGCAACACAAGTCACAGACTAAAAAACATCTAAGGTATTTAGGGCTTCCATACCTATGCTGGTATGGCTGTGTAAGTTTACTTGCAGCTTGCATGTTTAATGTTAGTATAGCAAAGGGCACTATGCCCTAAAAAACTGTGACCCCCTGTTGCATATTATTCCCCATACAAACTGCCATAATAAGTACACTTTAGAGTCCAAAAAACTCTTTCCCAACTAAGCAGCTTATCCTTCTAAATATTGCAATCCTGCTTAGCACATTTTATGCCTAAATGAAAAGGAATGCTGCACAAACATGCTACAGCTAGCATGAGTAACCTGTTTGGAATTTCAAATATTATAGCAGATATACTGATCCAAAAGAAAACTTCTATAGGTGTACTACTTTGCTCATATAAAACTGGGTCAAGGGAATTAAAGAATTTAATAGATAAACAAATTCAGTAATGGAATTGCTGTCAATTAGACGCATAATTAAGAAGATCCACTTAAGATTGCACTAGTTGTATGACAGCTTTGAAAGTGAAGCAGATTGGTGGCTTTCAGGTTGTTTAGGTGAAGCAACTTTTAGCTATTGTTCCCTCACTGGCTATGCCTTAAACCATCAGGCAAGAAAGCAAGTAAACCTGGCTATGCCTCACATTTCCAGCAGACCAGGTGTGTCTACCCTGGAGCCGAGTACCTGAACTTAATCGAAACCCTGACCAAAAACAAGCCACACTCCATTCTTCAGAGAGATGCTCCACCCTGCATTTTTCTGGAGAATGATACATACTGCAGCAGGACAATGAATCCAAACACACCTCAAAGCTTTGAGGGCCTACTTGAACACCAAAGTAGACCAAGGAGTGTGGACTGCTACCTGACCTCAACCTCAAAGAGCATTTGTGGGGGCACTTCAAAGACAAGTATTCCTGGCATCTCAAGAAGTTCAGTGGAACACTGTCAGATCATGCCAGTTTGTGTCCATGCTGTTATTAAAATACAAAGAGTGAAATAAAAACATTCTGAAATAAATGTACTTTTTTTCTAGAGATTCAGCTTCTCACTTAAACTATTAGGCAAGAAAGAAAGCAGAACTTATTTATACAGCACATTTCATTCTAGGTGGATTCACAATGTGCTGCACAAAGCACGAGCTACCACAGAGGCTGCAGGCACAAACCTAGTCAGATAATATGAAACTAAGTCAACAGACTGACGTGGGCAAGTGAATAAATAAAATAACTAAGAATATACCCATAAGATCCATAACACTTCACCACTTTTGACTGATGTCCCAGAATAAGCAGGCAATGAAGAAGAAAAAAAGTATTAGGGGTTTAGTTCTAAAACAAGCAAAAGCCAATACAATGACCTCAGTACAGGTGCTAAGTGGTCATATTTCCTGTAGAGCTGAAATTAGGATGTTTACCTGATAATCCTTTGAGCTGCACATCCAGACAACTAAAAGTAAAAGCATGGACAATTCTTTCTGCACATTAAACAGATAAAAGGTTTAAAACCTTTGTGCTATTTCCCGATTTATCAAATTGCTTGATTTATTTTGGCTCTGCTGCTGATTTGTGAAAAGATTTGTAACCTATACCACTTTCTATAGAAGGCTGTAAAAAGTTCATAAGAAAAACAAAGTGAAATTATTTGCAATAAAAAACAAGTTTCATGTTAAAAAAAAAAAAAAAAAACAACTCATGAGAACAGCTAAAAAGTAGCTGCTGGGAGGTGCTCGTCCACCAGTCACAGAGACGTGGAGACCGCAGGGACCAGATGTGGCATACTGTCTTCAGCAGCCAGACTGAAAGAGGTGAATGGGTTTACAGATCCTTGCAGCAGGATTGGTTCATCACACACAGACTCTGCTGTGCAACTTCGTTCAAAGGAACTGTCTGATACAGGGAGGTCCCTCTCCTGAAATGAGCTGGATTCCAAGTAATCCCTTATTATAAGTCAAGGCAGTGACTAGTGTTACAGTAACCCTTCTGCTTCTGAGGGATCAAAATAAACTAATTATTTGTAAATTTCATGCATGTCAATAATGTGACTTTTGTTGTAGGTTCTCCTTAAGATTCTGACCGTACTAAAGCTATTTGAATAAAATGAGTATTTTTATATTTCTTGAAGAAGAAAAAAAAACTCCCATACTTTTCCCGTAATATGTATGTACTGTAGTGAGGCAAACCGGACTGGTTTATAGCATGCATACTCAAATACAAGAAACGTTTAACCTGGATTTGCCCCAAAGTCAAAAAACATAAACAAGCTCATTTGCCCCGAATGAGCTTGTTTATGTTTTATACTTCTTGAAAAACATGAAGTATTCCTGAGTTAAAACCACCACTGCACTATATGCAGATAGTTCCTAGTGCAAGGAACACTTTTTAGTACACTAGAAATTTTATTTTTGAAATAAGACCTCAATTAAACAAATGCGTGGTTTAAAAAAAAAAAAAAAAAGTGCACTCATTCCAGTAAAACAAACATAAACAAGTAGTGAACTTTTATCACTGCGGGTGTGTGATTCCAAGTGCGGCAGAGTCTTTAAGATCCTGCTAGCCAAAAGAATGTCTGAAATGTCTTCAGCTGTGTTGCGCCTGTCTGCATCTAGCGTGTGTGCTTATGTGTGGCAAATGTAAACATGTGGCATACTGAAAGGATTGATGAAAACATATTTGAAGTTTTACAGCGGAGGGCTTACTTTGATGTGGCTTCAGGGCTTTTGCACAGGTGGGCCCTCACAGTGCCAGCACAGAGGTCCTGCAGAGTTTATG